GTTCACATAATGTCTTCAAAGTTCATCTACTTCTTATGTAGCGCGTGTCAGAATTCCCTGGTTTTTAAGGAATTGTAATATTTCATTGCATGTCCATATCACAGTTTGTTTAGCCATCCACCCGCTGGTGGACATTTGGGCTGTTTCCACCTTTCGGCTGCTATGAATAATCCTCCGTGAACACTGGCGTACGTACGAGTACCTACTCAAGTCTCTGCCTTCAGGTCTTTTGGCCACGTGCCCAGGAGTGTAAATGCTGGATTAGATTGTCATTCTGATTTTGTCTGAGGAACCGCCACACTGATTTTCACAGTGGCTGCACCATATTTCATTCTTACCGGCAATGCACGAAGGCTCTGATTTTTGCATATCTGACGCAACTCTTGTTTTCTGGGGATTTTTTTGTATTAACTGTCCAAATGGGGGTGAAGCGATATCTCACTGTGGTTTTGAGTAGATGGGGCAATACCATGGTTGCTTCTTCAAAGATCGGTGTACCACAGTAGACTAAAACTTTATAATCTCATCACCTGTGCCTGTCTCGGTCACCTCCACTTCCACGCCTGCAGAAGGCCTGCTCGCAGTCAAATATGGCCAAACAGCTGGACAACCGAGCATGAGTGGAATTTGGTCCAGGTGTCTTTTCAGAACTCAGCATCCGAGCCATCCCCTGTGAAGCAGGCATCGGCCACACAGCTGCAGACTGGCCTGGGCGTGGTCCATCGGTGGCTGAACTGGGAGTGAGGGCCAGTTCTTTGCATTCAGGTGATCTTTAAAACACTCTTGTAGCTAACATAGACGTGGCCCTGCCACCTCATAACTGACAAAATGACTGTCACTGTGACACACCTCCACAGAGGAGACAGGTGGCTCAGTCACACACACTGGCAAGCGACAGCAGCCCGCGGTTAGAGAACTTCAAACTTTTCTCACTTCTTTATACAGGTTATGCTCGAAGTTGCTTGGACCTTCTGTAAGGAAATGCCATTTGAAAACTTGGCAGCATCCCTCATATTTATGGGTCCTTCAGAGGCACACCCACTCAGACGGAGCTGGCCAGGGCAGTGAACAGACAAGTGTGTGCGCTGGCTCGTTTGAGTGACTGCACCCTCTGATGTGCGCCGCACCGTTTGGTCAGGCAGTGGAGTGGTTCAGGGAGGTTTCCCTGGCTGGGCAGTTGCTCTGCTCTCATTCCTGAACATGCCCGTTTGGTTTTGAGAAGGGCATAGGGGTCTCAGGACTTGCCCGTCACTTTTTTCTAAAGGCCAGCACAGCCCACAGTGTGTAAGCGCCCATGCACCTGGTGTGTGCCACGTGGCTGCCTTGCTGAGGGCCAGGAGTGGACAGTGAGCCTGGCGTGCTGCCTGCTGGGCCCTCCAGGGGCCTCCCACTGTCTGCAGTGCCTGGCCCTCTGTAGAATCCTCTGAAGTCTCTCAGAGTTAAGGTCACTGGTATAGGATGTCATGGATGCAGGACTAGAACCCAAGTTGCAAGCTCCCAGACCAGTCCTTCCAACACTGTTGGCCTTGCTGCCCATGGCCACCTGGACCTTCCTGTGGGGAGCGGGGTGAGTCTGCAGCACCACACCCCCGTTTCTGGGTATTGGACGTGGGTCAGTGTTGGTAGGATTCCCCAGTGGGTTGGAGAGTGGACTACAGAGCCCCCATGAGCTCTGGCACAGCAGAAGTACTTCATAGTTGTGTGCCGGGCTGTCAGACCCAGTGACTACCCTAAGACTCAGACCTCTGCAGTGGGACCAGCCACACCAGCCTTCCCTCAAAAGGGCGAGCACAGCCGTCATACCTGGGGATGGACCTGCGGGGTCCAACTCTTCATGTCTGCACTCCTCTCTGGAGCCATAGCCTTCTAGCTCTTGATTTTTTAAAAAAGATGTTATTTATTTATCTTTAGAGAGGGGGGAAGGGAAGGAGAAAGAAGGAGAGAGAAACATCAATGTGTGGTTGCCTCTCCAGCGCCCCTCACTGAGGACCCAGTCCACAACCCAGGCATGTGTCCTAACTAAGAATTGAACCAGTGACCCTTCACTTTGCAGGCTGGCACTCAATCCACCGATCCACAGCGGCCCCCTTTTAGCTTTTTAATGACTCAAGTGGAATTTCTGCATCCAGCCACTGTATGGTCTCTGCCTCAAGGGAAACTAAGGCTCAGAAGGGTTTAGAAACTCACTCAAGTTCACACAGCTCCTAGGGTTAAAACCATTTTTTAAATTCTTTTCAAACTACTTGTTTGAGGTATGGTTGACATGCAAAAAAAAACAACCTGTACGTATTTAATGCATACAGTTCAGTGAGATTGAGAAGAAGTATCTCCCCCAGACACCACCACCACCATCAAGGCCATAGACACATACATCACCTCCCAAAATGTCCTCCCACCCCCTCTTCTATTGTGTGTATGGGGGGGTGGGCGGTAAAATTTGCTATACTTAGCAAATGTTCAGTACACAATTCAATACGAAGCTATAGTATCATAGCAATCCAGAACTTACCTTGCATACTTGAAACTTCCTGCCCTTTGACCATCACCTCCTCATTCCCCTCCCCTCAGCCCCTGGCAACCACCACTCTGCCTCTACCAGTTTGACTGTTTTAGAATCCACACCTAAGTGAGATCATACAGTATCTGTCTTTCTGTGTCTGGCTTTTTTCACTAAAACTGATTTCTTGACTCCCTATACTGTGCATTTGTTTTATCTCATCGTCTCAGATTTCGTCAAACTCCCAGCAGCCAGCCCCTTTCTAGGAGACCTCTCCTGGGGAGGAAGTAAGCGTCGGGTCCCAGCTACCCGTGGAGTTTGGACAGCCCAGGTGTTTGTTTGCATGTGGCCAGGCTCCCCCAGGCCCAGCTCCTCTGTCCCCGCACAGCGTGGGCTTTGTCTTTTCAAAGCCACCCTTTCAGGTTTGACTTTACTGTGGGCTTAAAGTCAGACACATGCAGGTTCAAATGCCAGCTCTGCCTTCAACCGGCCACTTAGGTAGACCAGCAGCAGCTGTGAACAGGGGATCATGTACGTCACCTCCCTGGCAGAGTCTGCCTGTGCAATAAATAGATGGTTAACACTCTGGCACTAGCACTGGGTCTCTACAGTACAGCCTATAAGTTGGAGAAAGACTCAACACCCCACTGGGGCGACGAGGCGGGGTGGGGGACAGAGAAACACAGCTTTGGTCAAAGGCCAAGGTCAGAAAGAAGGGCAATGGTTTTGGCAAGAAGACACAGGAACTGAGAGAGACGTTAAATTTTCGCTCTATGTATTGATGAAACATTTTAAATTTAAAAGCTTTTACTGATGCTTTATTTCAAAAGTGTTGTGTGTTCATTATAGAAATATTAGGAAATACAGAGACATACACACATGTCACCGTGGCCCCATCACCCAAAGAGAGCCATGGTCTCCCCAAGTTTTTCTCCGCATATTCAATTAGTCCCTATAAGTTTTCTAAATTAGGGACTATATTCTTCTCCAAATAATGAGGTATTTTTCTGAACCTCTAAGATGTTACAGCTGTCTTTCCAAGCTAATAAGGCTACCTGTCCACCCTGATTCTAAGAGGCTGCCTCCTATTTCACCATGAAGTTGGACCACCCTCTATTTAAATTCTGCGTTGAAAGGTGGGATAATGGACGTGGCATGAGAGGAGAAAGGTACAGAGGGACCCTGACCCAAGTCCAGGGGCCCGTCACTCTCCTGGGTGCTCCATTCTCTGCCCCAGCTGATGTCAGGCTTGAATGACCTTGACCAGACAGGTGTTTTGGCCCCCTTTGGCCCTTCCGGGGACAGGCCTTTCTGGCCCATGGGGAGCCCCCTAGGCCCGCAGTCTTCCAGTGGGTCCTGTACAAACAGCAGTAGAGAGGACGGGCGATGGTGGGGCCAGGCCAGGCGCAGCATGTGCACAGGGGGAGCGCCGACCGCTCCCTAGCCCCACGGTCCAGGGCAGCCCGAGCACAAGAGCACTGGACAGAGTCCCAGGTGCGGGGCAGGTCTGGTCCACAGCCCTCCATGTTCCTCTTGGTGGAACTTTGAGGCTCACCTAGTTCTGGGCTCGGCCCTCTCTGGGAGCATCACAAATGAGAACGAAACTGAATCCCATGAGTGCTAAATGGAAAAACCCACAGAATAAGGTCAGTAATGCCAGTGGTTTCTATTGGCCTGGATGAAAAGGCAGGAAGAAAAGGCATCTTGTGGAAAGGAGCCGTCAGGAACCTTCAAGATCTTGGAGGGCTGACAGTGCTGACTGTTTGGTGTGGGCCAAATTAGAAACAGCCCGGCCGTGTCTCCGCCGCCACAGGCATCACAGTGCCCACAGGCCATGCTGGGGGTCTCTGGGACCCTCACAGAAGGATCCCAGGGTGCAGCCTGCTCCTGTGGGTGCAGCCTCAGCTCTCCATCTGTAATAGAAGGGGATGAACTCAAGGGTCTCAAAGTCCCGGCCAGCTTCCCATGATTCTTGGGAGCCACCCAGGTTTCCTAAGGAATTAAAGGCCTTTGGCAGGAGGCTCTCCAGTGTGATGCAGTGTTCATCTAGGAGCAGGGCCTCTGGGTGACCCTGCAGGGACACGCCCCAGCCAGGATGGCACTGCCTTCTGTGGGACAGACTCACTTCTGTCCTGCTAAAGAGAGCCACAGCCTGTGGTCCCGAGCCAGCAGCTGAGCACAAGGCACTGACAAGCCTGGGTTTTTATCTTGGCTCCTCCTTTTCCAGCTGCAGGGTCCCCTCCTCTGGCAATGAAGGTATGGGTCCCTCCATGCTCAGCTCCCTGTCTGGACCCATAGAAGAGGGACAATGGACACCCAATAGAGGAAGAGTTCTCCCCACCCCCAAAAAGGGCTGTGTCTGGAGCAGGGAGCCCACACACTCACCTTTCCCTCACCTTTGTCTCCAAGGTCACTCCCAGAAGGCCTGGGAGAAAAGCCAGGTTCAAGGTGAGCGGTGGAGCCCGGGGACCAGGGTGGTGACGCGCAGGCACTCTCGTTGCAGGGAACAGCAGCCTCTTCCAAACTGAGCTCTGCCCACAGCGCTGGCAGGACCTGTCCCCCAGTAAGTGCCGCAGCAGCACCCAGGACACCCGGAAGGAGACCAACAGCATGTGGGGCCTCATGGTGGTCGCCCAGCTGCTGGCGGGCATCGGGACGGTGCCCATTCAGCCGTTCGGGATCTCCTACGTGGACGACTTCTCGGAGCCCAACAACTCGCCATTGTACATCTGTGAGTCGCAGGCCTGAAGAGGGCTGTGGGAGAGAGGGGCGCTGCGGGTGGGGTGGGGGCTGCGGTGACCCGTGCCTAGGCCCCTCTTTGCCCCACGATGCTGCAAATGAGTGCAGAGGTTTGGGGGACGGACGGACCGGGTTTCAATGGCAGTTCTGGCACCTGCCCGCTGTGGGATTGGGGCAGCCGTCTGAGTGGCAGGGCCCCAGGTTCCTCCTCTGCAGGGTGGGGCTGACAGTGTGCACTGGGCAGCTGTGGGACCACATGCAGTCACAGTATGTAACCGTTTAGCCCCATGGTGGGCACAGGGATGCTCCTTGTCCAGCAGCAGCTCTCGGTGCTGTTTGGTCCTCCAGGCCTTGGCCAGGGTGACTGTCCGAGCCTGATGGACAGGTGGGTCTCAAAGAAGCACATGCGAAAAAGATAGATGACGTTAGAATGCTCAATCCTTCTCCTAGCCCACGCCACACTGCACAATCTCAGGGCCTACACCCCAGACATGACAGACTGCACCCACGACTCTGTGGCCTCACGAGCTCCTGCCAGGGCCTCCAACATTGTCCCTACAAAGAGCTTTGCCAACCAGCACTGCTCTGGGCGGCATCCGTAAATGCCAGGGAGGTGCTTCCCTCCTGGCAAGTGGATCTCTCGGGCAGCTGCCTGGAGGAGAAACTGCTTCGATTCTGTACATCTTAGGATGTTGAGTGGTTCTGACATTGTCTGTGGGAGATGCCATAGGTGTGGACCTGTCAGTGTCAGGGGACAGATGGGGTGACATCTCAGGCATCCTTCAGCTAGGGAAAGAGCCTGAAGCTGCCACACCCACTCAGTCCCCCTCAGCCCCCCTCAGCCCCCTTTCCCCTGCTTTCCTTTCCAGCCATCTTATTTGCCATCTCTGTATTTGGACCGGCTTTTGGGTACCTGCTGGGCTCCGTCATGCTACGGATCTTTGTGGACTATGGCAGGGTGGACCCAGGTGAGTGTGTGTGATGATGCCCATCCCATTGCTAGTTTCATGAAACCACCTCCCCACCTCTCCCTACCTCCCATCCCCAGCCAATCAGGGCAGAGAATGAAGCTTCAGCGGCAAATGCTCACCGCCGGGTGCACGCTGCTGCTGACCTTCAGAGAGCCGGGAGCAGGGGGTGTGTGCCTCCTCCCCTCACCACGGCACGTGTTGGATGCTAAGAATGAGGGGGGCGCACTGCTGAAAAAAATCACACTCTTTCTGACCTCAGTAAGTTTGCAGCTCAGGTTAGTTGCAGAGAAACCTTGAGATACAGGAAGGGCCTCAGGTATTGCCACCACAGGTGCCTGTCTTGGTGGTGGTATTAAAAGTCATTCCTGCCAGCCAGGAGTTGTGGCTGGGAGGCAGCTGTGAGCCAGCCCCTCAGCATGACACCCCTACCCACACCCGCACGCAGATCCGAGTCTGCCCACTCACACAGAATGTGGGCATGTGTTAAACCCGACCATGCTCCACAGACTGCCGCCTCCAGGACCACCAGAGCATGGTGGCACCTGCGTGGTATCCTCTGCCTGTGCTTCCAACAAAAGGGGAAAAGCCAGGGGGTCTTTCTGTTTCAGTTTCAAGCCATCTTTGCCCTTTCGCTGGCACTGTCTGTGTTGGTTCCTGACTCTTAGTTAACCAAAGGACTCTCCGCTAAGCTCCTGCTTCACCAGGAACAGTGCCCAGGGATGCTGGCCATTGTTCAGCTGAGGGCCCTTCTGCTCCGTCTCCTCCCTCCGTGCCTAGGGAGTGTCTTACAAAGAGAAACGCAATGCAGACTCTTAGATGTGGGAGGGAGACTTGCCAGGAGAAAGCATCTCCTTGGAGGCCAGGCATCTGACTTTGGGAGGGCTGTTTCCTCAGGCTACCGAGGGTTATGAGGCCTCCTTCCTTTGGGATCAAATACGGCTGGGCAGTGGTAGCATTCGGTCGTCAAGAGCTCAGGTTTGAACACCTGGAAGACATAGGTTTGAAACCAATCAATCACCTTAACCTTAAATAAGGGCAAGGGCAACCTCTCTGAGCCTCAGTTTCCTGATTGGCTAGAAGTGGGTGGACATAGCTCCTACCTCATAAACTTACTGGGGGAACCCAACAGGATAAGAAACATAGACATGTGGTCTTGAGCCGGGCCTGTGTTGAGCCCCGAGAGAGTCACAGCCAAGGATTGGGAATAAACTAAGGTGAGGCCAAGGCCCTGATCCCATCAGCCTGGGGGCTCTCTGGTGCTGTGCTTCATGCTCAGGGGCCTCTGCTTCCTGGGAAGACCAGAATGGCCAGGATAGGGAATGTCAACTTGACCCAGGTTGTAGTTCATGGATTTGCCTCTTCTCCATCGTGAGGCAAACATGCCTCTAATCAGAGGGTCTCTTCCCAGTAAGGTGAGATCATGTGTTCATCCAGCAAGTGTTTATGTCCTTTGCTTTCTCTTCAGCCTCAGTTAACTTGAGCCCCGGAGACCCCCGATGGATTGGAGCCTGGTGGCTGGGCCTGCTCATTTCCTCAGGCTTCTTGGTCCTCACCTCCTTCCCCTTTTTCTTCTTTCCTCGTGCAATGCCCAGAGGAGCGGAGGTAAGGCTCAGAGAGCCCGTAACTCTACCTATAAGAGTTTAAGAAAGGGAGGCAGCAAGTTAAGCAAATTCTGGGTGGAATCTAAATGGATCTCATGATACAGGACTTCTCAGAGTCTGGGGGAAGTGAGAGCGCTGGTGAATCTACAAAAGATGGTATCTCATCAGTGTCCCCTTCCCCGTGGTACATCCGGGGATGTGGTTCAGGAAACACTGAGCTCATCTACACTGGGACAAAGAGGGAAGAGCCAATGAAAGCTGAGTATGTGACCTGGCGCAGCTGACGTTTGTATCGCATGGGGCCCATGGTGTCTGAGCCTGAGGCGCTGAGAAAGCAGGGTGAGGGTGGGCCGAGGGAGGAGCAGAGTGTGAGCAGACTGACCTTCCGCACATCTTTCAGTCCCGTCTGTTGGGGAAGGAAATCAGGAAAGGATGAGAATGGAAAACAGGGATGGGAAGTGTGGGCGGGCACTTGGATGCTGGGCCGATGGGTCTAGAACCTGTTCTGACCCCATGAAGTTCTGGGGTGCTGCAGTGATGGGGTTACCAGTCCGGTGGCAACATGGCAGTTGGGTTGAGGTTGGGGTCAGGAAGGAAGGAAGACTGGAAATCTGAAGAAGCTGGTATGGAGACAGGGCGGGCAGCAGAGGGCCAGGGGAGTGGCTGTGGCAGCCGAGGCCAGGGCGGGGATAGATGTTCTTGGAGGCACTACTGAGAGGGACTCAGCAGCGACCTGGATTGGAGGAGAGGAGGGGCTACCATTAGTGCCAAGGTTTTGAACCAGACGCAGAACTTGGCATTCGGCGTTGAGGTGTGTGGGATCTTGGCCTGGCTTTGGGAGGACAGGCTGGGGCAGGAGGATGGGGGCCTGTTTGGGGGAAACACTTCAGAGGTTGGCAGCACACTGTGGTGTTTTGGGGTAGCCACAACAGACAGGCAAGGGGTGAGATCCGGTCAGACCCTTTAGGGCATCGGTCATGGGGAAGATAGATATCAAATAATGTGCCCAGAGATATGTTGAGAGGCATTGGCATGGAAGCGTTCTGGTCAGCAGCCAAAGCACTGGGCTCACTGACAGACAGGTAGCATTTACTTTAAGAGACTGTTCTCTGGACAACCCCCCCCGCCACTCACACCTCGGGCAGCTCATGGCTGCCCAGCCCGAGCCACTGAGACCAGAAGGGTCAACGGTCTAGGAAGCGTGGTTGCAGGGAACCTGGGCCATTAACACTCATCTTCTTTGCTGCCTTCAGCGGTCTCCTGCCATAGCGGACGAGGCGAGCAAGATGAAGGTCAAGCCAGGAGGCTCCCTGGTGGATTTCATTAAACGTAACTCACTGACCCAACAAAGCCCTGGGTGGGCTGGCTTGGGCGGGGTGGGGGCGGGCATCAGGGAGTACCCGAGTGTGCAGCCCACGTGGTATTGTGTGTGATAAGGGCGTTAAGAGCAGGTGGTCTGTAACTGGCCCATCTCACCGGAGGGGCTCTGCCAACAGACAGATTCCAGCAGAGCCAGTCCCACCCCACGTCCCTCTCTCTCCTCCCTTCACACGGAGGTGGCTGTCATGTGAGGCCAATGTCCAGTGAAGGCCAATGTCCACGGGCCAGTGAAGTCCTTGGTGCCCAGACTCTGCCCTGTGGCATAGCAGCACTGTGTGGAGGGAGGAGGCAGGCAGTGGCCAGTGTCACAGTCTCCATGACGGCCGCAGCCCGCGAAGGCCTGGCCCCTGACGGCAGTGTGTTTGCAGGCTTTCCCCGCATCTTCCTGAAGCTCCTAATGAACCCACTCTTCATGCTGGTGGTCCTGACTCAGTGTACCTTCTCCTCCGTCATCGCCGGCCTCTCCACGTTCCTCAACAAGTTCCTGGAGAAGCAGTATGGCGCCTCTGCGGCCTATGCCAACTTCCTTATCGGTGAGTCCCGGCCAGACCGGACACCAGGAGCCAGAGAAGGACTTGCCCAGGAGAAAGAATTTTAAGGACAAGTTTCTTGGTTGGCAATCTGGAGTGCTTTTAGCAGGTACCTGGGGTCCCTTTTGTTCCAGGCTGGGGGCTGCCTTCCTCCCCGTCAGAGGGGCTGGAAGCCTGACCGCCCCCGTCGTCGGGGGCAACCAAGGAAAGAGAGCATCCGTTTGGTGTTAGGTAGTGCTCCTGGTCTTGTTCCTTCTTCTCAAGGGCTTGAAGACATTTGCTGGGGGAGGGAGCATGTGACCCAGGGGTTCTCAGCTCTGGCTGCACTTCAGGCTCTCCTGCAGAGCTTTAAATGATGCAGATGCCCAGGCCCCACCCTCCCTCAATGAAATCAGAGTCTCTGGGTGGGGCCCAGCTTTAGGGCGTTTTGCCAGTGAGGTTGAGAAGCACTGATGTAGTCCCATCAAGTATCCAAGTGAATTACTGGACCCAATCCACAGGTGAGCTTGATCATATACATGGGGCACAGTGGTCAGGGTGTGAACCCTGATGTCCTCTGTGGCCCTTGGTTGTGACCTTACTCTTCTAGCCTTAGGCCTCTGACTAGCAGGCAGAGGGCACCACCAGAGCCTTGCTTATCCCATGTGGTCACAGTGAGGATGCAATGAGGGGTCAGGCAAGGAAAGGTACTAAATAAATGCACATTCAACCCACCTCCATCTGGCTGCAAGGGTCCCACTTCCTTCTTTATTCTTTGCATAGGCAGGGTCATCTTCTAGGTCAAGATCACTCTGTAGATGTGCCTGGCAAATAGTAAACACTCAACTAATGTCAGGTATTACATTGTAATGGAACCTATCAAACGTTCCTTCAGGAACTGCGCCCCTTCTTCATGGTCCAGCTCGGAATCTGTGCCCACACACACTCCCAGGCCTGTGCACACAGACCCGCCTCTCTCTCGCTCTCATACCCCCTCTCTTCTCCCCGCCCCCCAGGTGCTGTGAACCTCCCCGCTGCAGCCTTGGGGATGCTGTTTGGAGGAATCCTCATGAAGCGTTTTGTTTTCTCTCTGCAAACCATCCCCCGTGTGGCTGCCATCATCATGACCATCTCCATCATCTTTTGTATCCCTCTCTTCTTCATGGGGTGCCCCACCCCGGTCGTGGCGGAGGTCTATCCCCCCAGGTAATGGGAATGAGGGGTGAGAAGATACCCTTTGCTGAGGCCAGAGCCTGGCTCTGGCTGCCACGCCTCCTCCTTTCTGCTTCCTCAACTCTTCTCTCCTTTTCACTTTTTTATCTAATCTCTTATGTGAATACTTAGAAAACTGGGTGTTGAATAAAATGATGAATTCTAAGAAATCAGAGGGTCCTAGTGGGCCACCAGCAGTCAGGGTTAGGGTTCTGTTTGGTTTCGATTTGTTTTTTGGTCTTTGTTTTAAATGTCAAAAACCAATTAGTTTGGTTTCAAGATGAATCTGGGGGGCTGTGAGCCCCAGGAACCAGGAAATTGACTATGTTTTGCCAGTATCAGCTCCGTGCCAGCTAGAACTACAGAGTCTCATTGAACTGCTGAAGAAAGATGAGAGAAAGAGACTGGAAAAGATCTGGAAGAGAACAATGAAAGCAATGGCAGGCTTAACAATAAGGGCAGGCAAGGAAGAAGGCAGGGAAATTAGACCTGTTGGTTCACGTACAGCAACAAGGCCCTAAGTTTTAGATCTGGCTTTGTGTTGAGGAAGAACTTTAGAGGCTTACAGAGGGAGGACGCTGAGCAGGGAGCCTTTAGGTTTTTTTCCTAGGGGCTACCTCTCAACCCCTTCTTCTGTCTAACTTCGCCTAATGAGGTTACAACATTTGGGATGCCACATCTTTCAGCCTTGGCATTTTCTCCGTCTTTCTCTTTGAAATAACCTCTTCTGTCTTTGGTGGGGAATAGAAGAGGGGGTGAGCGGGAGGGAAGGGTTGCTGGGGACGGGGCCCCCCTGGTTCGTATCGGTCTCCTGCAGGCTGACTGTAGACAGAGAGAAGCCGGGCAGGCCCTGGGCCTCTGGAGGCTTTCACTGGGAGTTACAGGAGTTAGCTCAGGGCTTCGTCATCAGTCTGGGTTCTAGTGCTGGCCCTGCCCTCGCTAGTTGGGGAAATTGCTTAACTTATCTAATCTTCGGTGTTCTTATCCACAAAGAAGAGCGTTATAATTTTGGAATTATTGTGATGGTGTGCATGAAAAGCCCCTGGGCACTGTGCCCGGCACAGAAGAGACGCCCCGTTAATGTGAACTATCATCAGTGTAACTATTTTTAGCAAAGCTCTGGACTGTGTTTGTCAGCCCTGTCCCAACCGTCCCCAAGATCCTGGATATCAGATATGAAGACTGGTGGGGATGGTGAGGCCAGCCAGTGAAATCTCCTTGGTGGACGCTGAGGGGGATAGAAGGCCCCGGGCAACGTCTGCATAGTCCTAGAGACACCAGCCATCTAGACCCTCCCCCAGCTCGAGCCCAGGTAGCAGAAAAGGGACGAGAAATATTGCCTGGGTCTTTTGCGTAGCATCCACTGTCTCTCTCATTAGAGTCCTGCATGGTTATTTGTCTTAACCACTTCTACAGCGGGGGGAGGGGGGGCAGTTGCCAACCTGGTCCTTCTGACCAGCAGTTGGTTGGTGTGGGCTCCCAGTGGCAGAAGGATCGGAGAGGTGCCATGAGCTCCGACCAGCAGCCAGTTCACCATTGGCCCCAGCAGGCATAAATCAGACCCCAGGGCAGTGCTGGCCCAAGACAGAGCCTCACAGGCACGCTGACCAGGCGGGAACTCGCACTGGGCCGGAGCGGGGAGGTTTTCCTTTGGTCTCGCTTTGTTTGAGTCCCTGTTTCCTGTGTCTCTGGCAGCACATCAAGTTCTATATACCCGCAGCCGCCTGCTTGCCGCAGGGACTGCTCGTGCCCAGACTCCATCTTCCACCCGGTCTGCGGAGACAACAGTGTAGAGTACCTCTCCCCGTGCCACGCGGGCTGCAGCCTCGTCAACCTCAGCACCATAGCCTCCAAGCAGCAGGTAAGGGCAGGAGGAGCCCCGCAGGGTCCCCGCACTCAGCGTGTGCCCTCAAAGACAGCTCCTCCGCTCCAGGACGGGCAGGGGGCCAACCACACCGTCCTCATTGCCCCCATCCTGGCCTCCAGGTTATGGCCTCCCTCTCTCTACTTGCCCTTCTCTACGGTCATGACTAGATGCCTACAACCAAAAGTCGATTAAAGAGTGGCCAATGTTCAAGAAATGCTCATTCCTGGAGTAGAAACCGGCCAAAGCACTCCTCCAGCTGAGGCCTTCCAGTCTCATCCTGACAGCTCCTAGTGGGGGTCTTTGGGTCCTGCCCTCTGGCTGTGTGCTAAAGCCCCATGGACAGGCCCAGAAAAATCAAGGGCAGAGCATCCTCTGGGATGTGGACCTGGAAGGGTTGAGCTGGAAGCAGTGATCAAGGTCATTATGTTCACCCCCTCAGCTCCCAGGTGTGGCCACACAGCTGGCCCAAAGTTGTGTAGTTATTGAGGGGCAGGTCTGAGTCTAGAACCCAGGACTCTGCCTCTGTCTGGAGGCGCATCTGTTCAAAGTCAAGGTCCTGGCCACCAGCCTTCCACACATACAGTCCACGTTCACTAGTTCACTTGGAGAGGTCCTGTCAGCCCTCTGAGCGCTATGACTCCTGGCCTTCTAGGATCAGCCAGCAGCAAATTAACATGAGTTAGCTCAACAAATCACCGACACCCGACACAGCCATGCATGCTGGGGATTTAGTGGTGAGCCAGATGAGGTTCCTGCTCTCGTGGAGTTCACATTCTATCAAATACACACACAGTTTAGTTTTCGGAGGTAACTCATGCCATCAAGAGACTTAACGAACAGAGTGTGCCTGGGGGCCTCCCCGAAGGGGGTGACGTCAGAATTGTACCTCCAGAAGAAAACCCTAGAGAGACCTGGCAGTGAAGCATCCCCACTGAAGGAACAGCCAGTGCACAGGCCCCAGGCGTGGAGGCCCAGGCTGGCACTGAGAAAGGCGAGTCTCAGCCAGCCGGCAGGCCAGGGCTAGGAGTCAGTCTTTTCCTGAGAGCAGTGGGAAGTCTGTGCAGCCCTAATGCACCTCGTTCCCTTGAGCCTGTGTGGAGGTCACGGGCAAGGCTAGCCCCCACTCACCAGCCCCCTCCCGAGGATGAGGGAAGGCTGCTTCCACAGCCGCCTCCGTGTGCAGAGGAGCGTGAGTCTGGGGCAGAGGGAGGTCGGGGAGCTTGGACGAGGTGTTCTTTTAGTCGCCCTCTTGCCCAAGGAGTCTGGTGGCTTCTGCGGTTTTCTTATCTTTATTACTTACCTCTGACTCATCTACTTCCAAAAATAATCTTGACACATTTCCAACAGCAACACAAGTCATCACCATCAACATATTATCAAGGAAAAAATAGTAAATTATAAGGAAAAAAAATCTATGGAAGTAGCTGCCATATTATATATAACATGTCTGGGCTTCCTAGCAGCTGAAATAAAGGAGGTACATAGTTCTTGTCGTCTGGTAGAAGAAAGCACACTAGTCCCAATCCTGGCTTTATAGCTGCTTTGACACTTAAACGGGCCTAGGCTAGTCCATCAGATACTGTGAAGGGGCGGTGGCTGAGTCGTACAATAGTGTTAAGCCGTATGGACTTGCAGACTTGAGACGGGCACCTCCTTCTCTAGAGGCCTTCACGGGCAGGAGACTTCTCTCTGGCAAAGGTCCTGACCGATGGAGAGCTCAGTGGATTCCACCGTGTTTCCTCTGCTGTCTCCTATTTGTACTTTCCTCACCCTCCCTGCGTAAGCACACAAACAGCAAAAACAACTCACAAAGCCATGGCAGGCGGCAGGGGGGTGAGGGGGACAGGGGAGGGGGGACTGATGGGGGGCAGAGGGGAGCGGCTGGCTCAGAGAAGAACCCTCATAGCCCTTGGTCCCAAGCTGGGTGTGTGCGCTCACCTGGCAGTAGCACCCTGCATGTACTGACGTGGGCATAACTGCTGGAGGAGCCCAGCCCACACCAGGCAGCTGGTTTCGGTGAAAATGGTTTGTTTGGCCCAAACAGTGGCCAGAGGTGGGATCCACAGGACACCTCGAAACCCTGAGCTGACCTCTTCTCCCACCGCCGAATCCAGCCTCCCTAGTTCCCCAGGGGACCTAGAGGGCAGAAGGTTGAAACCTGAGGGACTGTCTGGCAAGAGCTGGTGCAGGCGTTTGGTGTGCGTGCAGGCAAAGTAACGACAACACATTTTCTCCTCTTTCTTCTCTCCCCTCTTCAAGATCTACCTGAACTGCAGCTGCGTGACTGGGGGGTCTGCTTCGGCGAAGACAGGATCGTGCCCCATCCCCTGCGCCGACTACCTGCTCCCGACCATCTTCCTCATCTCCTTCGTGGCCCTCATCGCCTGCATCTCCCACAACCCCCTCTACATGATGGTTCTGCGGTGAGTGCACCTCCTTCCCTGCCTTCGCCTTTGCTTTGTGTCCAGCCACCCATTTGTCATCTCTACTCCTTTTCCTGGTTCTCAGAGCCCTCTGAACATGATGTACAATGTTCTTTGGGTGAGAAATGGGGAGACACACGAACACAACAGCAGCCGGGCCCCACCCGGGCCAGGCTGTATGCAGAGCTCCTCGCTGCGTCTCCCTCTCCCGCAGCCCTGCGGTGTCCCCATTCTGCACGTGGGAGACCACCAGCCCAGGATGGCAGAGCTGAGAACAGCAGAGCCACGTGCCAAAGCCAGGCTGCTTGGCTCTATGATACAGAAATGCATGTCGATTCACTTATTTTTAAATCCTAAAAGAACTGAGAGGAGGGAGGAGAATTCAGTTGGATGCATGAAACCGGGGATGGAAAACTGGGACAGTTCCAGAGACAGAATGAAAGCTCTGGGAAAGGATGAAAGTGAGAAAAGTGCAGTGACTGGGAGCCAGGACTCAGTTTTCAGGTCAAAAAGGGGAGACTGGCTGAGGCGGGGGAGCAGGGGAGGGCAGAGGTGTCCCATTACTGTGGCACCTGGAGGTCGAGCTTTTGACAGGGAATGACCCTTCCTTCACCTCACTCTCTGCAAAGGAGAAAACAGCATTTCAACCAAGGTCACCTTACCCACCCCTGCCTGCTTCCCACCTGTCCTCACCTGCCTCACAAGCAGAGAGGGAAAAACACAGAAGTTCATGCTGGGCTCCAGGGTCAAAGGCCCCGCTCTGCCACACGCTGGTCAAATGCCCTTGGGTGTTGCCCGTCTCGCTGAGTCTCAGTTTCCTCATTTATGAAAGTGGGTTAATAATATGGACCTCAAAGTGTTGGTGGACAGAATTAGATGGTAAATTGATTCGTAAATATAAGGTGCTCTACATGTTGGTTAATTATCACAAGTAACCAAATGATAATAACAGTTATTATTATTATTAAGAGCTAGCTAGGTGCCAATGACCTCTTTTCCCCAAAGCCTAGGTGATAAGAAAGAAGCAGAAGCAGTCACTTGTCAGGGGCGGGGATTTTACCCTCCCTACAAGTTAGCCCACAAACTCCCAAGTTCCTATTCTGCTGCTGTCTCAAGGATGCTGGCAGAAGACAGGAGACTCCTGGGTCAAAGGCCAAGGACTTTGTTCCTCGTAGCACAGCAAGCAGCATGGACGTCACGTTGCGTCATCTGTCCCTGCCCCTCAAGTCCTAGGGGCTGACGTGGAGGCGCCCAGGTGTATGTTTCCTAGGCAGCAGGTGTGTGTCACAGCTGAGAAACACTGAGCTTGGGACAGCCACCGCCTCTGTGGACCAAGCCCGCCCTTGGTCCGGGGGAGATTTGACCTCCTGCTTCCAGGTTGCTTGTTGCAACCACAACCCTGAGAAGTGGTCCAGGAAAGGAGCGGTCGGGACCCTGCCTTCGAAGCACACTCCTCAAGAGCACTGGGGGTGCTCAGAGCCCACGACACCTAAGCCTATGGAGGGGGATCCCTTCTTGCACCCCAAGTCAGATGGATACTAACCCTGAGAAAAATCTGTGGGTGGCCATGACGAGGAAAGGGGCTAGGATAAGGAAACTTCATGGGGGTAGGAGGCAGTCCCTGTCAGATCACATCCCAGAGGACCTCTGTCAAACCCCAGGGCTGGGGAAGTCATGGGGGAAAGCATCATTTCAACCACAGGACAGGCTTTTCCAGAAAAATCTCCCCCTTCCAAGTCTAGCCAGGGGCTGGAGTGAAACTGGAGAAGAGGGCCCAGGACCCCAAAATGGACTAAAGCTAAATCCCACTGGGAAGGTTGAAAGAATGGATGCTACTTAGTGTGAAGAAGGTGAGGCTTAAAGATGATTGTGTAGGCGGCCTGGGCAGTGTGGTATCAGTCCTGGTCCCCAGTGAGCATGGGGCTACCAGCAGGGAGTGAAGTTTCACGGGAAACATGGGAGGAGAGAGAGTGGCCAGAAAGCCAGCATTAACTCAGGTTTAAGGGGGCAGAGACCAAAAAGGACTCAAGATCTCCATCAGAAATCAAGTGAGGGTGCCCAAGTCCCAGTTAGCGGAGCATCCAGGGGAGTCCGCCAGGGGCCGAGGGCCGAGGCATCCGTTACGGATCAGGCCATCGGAGGGATCTGCAGGCTCACGGGGAGCAGACCTCAGAGTGAGATGTGAGACCCTTCCCACCGAGGGGAGGGTCCCCAGCAGATGCCTCAGTCCCCTGCTACACTCCAGTGAGCATCGCCCTCACCAGGCCACCCCTCACAGATGCTGGGAGAAGGTCCCTTTCCCATTTACTTCTAGTTCCCTTCCGTGCTGTCCCCTGAGCCCCAAATGCTTTTCTCTAATAAGCACCCATGGAGGAGTGCGTGTGCTCACAGCACGGAGAAGCCAGGTGCCTCTGCTGGCCAGCACCTGGTCCCCTGGTTCTGGGTGGGCAGCCAGCAGCTGGCCAGCCAGAGGCCCCACCCACCGCTACCCCTGGTGCATGTGGAAGCTCCCCACACCTTCTGGGATGGCCTGGCAGAACCACCTCCAGATATGGCCTCCTCTCTCTCTGAATCTCCTTCCTCAGCCAAGTACTCTTCCCCTCTTGCAGGAAGAAGTGGGAGGGGCAGGACTGGCTGCCTAATTTGCAGGACCCAGGTCAAAATGAAAATGCCAGGCTCCCAGTTCCAAAACTACGAAGAAGTCTGAGACAGCCACAGCAGAGTACTAAACCAAACAGCCTTGCCAAGGGGGTGTCCCTTCGAGGCTGCACAGGCTGCACACCCAGAAAGCTGCCCCCAGATAGAGGATTCTTTTAGTCACACACGGAAGCCAACAGCCCAGGGCCCCAATTACGCTTTGCATCAGGCTGCCTTTTATTGCTACAAAACAGGTTGTCAGACTTGCTGCTTTGAAAATGTGTATCAGCATCCTCTCTGCTTCCAGCCACTTCTGCCCATTACCCCTTAAAGAGGGCTCAGGGCAGCCCTGAAAATCAGAAACACCAGCAATTCTCAAACTTGAGGTGCATCAGAATCTCCTGGAGGGCTTCACACAACACAGATTGCTAGGCCCCGCCTCCAGGGTGTCCGATTCTTAGGTCCAGGGTGGGCCTTGGGAACCTGCATTTCTCACAAGTTCCCAGGGGATGCCGATGCTGCCGGTCCAGGGATCGAGGTGTGAGAACCACTGATGCAAACCACAGAAGCACTTGGCTGGTGGAGCCCCAACTGCCAGTCTGCCGAAGCCGGCTGCCCCCGGCCCTGCTGAGGGAAGGCACAGCCCTGAGTCCTCCTACTGCTCATTTCCTGTTTTCCTTTTCAGTGTGGTGAACCAGGAAGAAAAGTCATTTGCCATTGGGGTACAGTTCTTGCTGATGCGCCTGCTGGGTAAGTGTCTGAGGCAGCCCCTTTTGGAGGAGTGGCCCTGGGACATCCGAGGGGGATGCGGTACGGTGTGGGGATGGGAAAAGTCCTCTCTCCTCTCTGTTGTACAGAGAAGGTGTGCATGATCGACGCCACCCCAAATGCTGAGACCCTCTGTGAGCAGTTTCCCTGTTACTTGTGGTTAAACAGATTTCATCTATGGCATTAATTCCAAAGTAAATTACGTAAGAAAAGCAGACACAGCTGAGAATACCTAATAGAGAATTGAAAGCAGGTATCTTTTAATCTCTAAGAACTTGCCATCAGAATAAAACCTCACATTTCTGTCCCAGCCAGAATGGCAGCTGAGCCCAGCCCTGACTTCCCACCCATTTTACAAAATTCACTCCTCCTTCAGCCAAAGTTCTTCTGTGCATGTGGGGCCCTGTGTGAGGAAGCCCTGCCCACTGTCAGGCAGCCCAGAGCTGCACTCACGTGATCAGTAGCGCTCTCGGGAGGGCGAGCTGCCTTCGGAGAACAGCGCACACCAGCCCTCCCGGGTGCATGGAGTCTCACTAGTACATTCTGGGCTCATTGCCAGAGCGCGTACACTGACAGGTCCCTTCTTAATACATCCTGACACTAAATAAACACGAGGCACTAATACAGAGACCCTTGCAGGGACAGGTACACAGAGGAAAGGGACTGGATTCAACTGGAGATGTGTTTATGAAGGACCTAGTGGGTGCGCACTGCAGCGGGTACGATGGTAATTGCAGTAGAGGGACTTCAGTTACCACCAAGTGTACTTTCCGACCTGAAATGCTGAGCTTCTACAGAGAGGTGCATTGCTCTCCAGGAGCACGGTCTGCACTTGAGCCTGCAGTGTCTTCCATTATCTTCCGGGCTGTGTTGGGGATACGACCTCCTGGGCCTGCTGAGTGGAAGCCTCACCCAAGGTTGAGTGAGATGTTCAGATGGGGAAGAATGAGTCAACTTCAGCAACATTTCTTGGCTTTGGGTCACTTGTTCCTCTCATCCCCCTTCAGACCCTGTATTACAAGCACAGAAGACACAGGGCAGCGGATCCACCCTGTTCTGGAGGCTCCATGGTCACGCCTGTTTTCATTTATAACTCATTCATGACTTGCCCATAAACCTCCACTGGGAAAGAAACCTTGTTTTCTGCCCTGCGCACCCAGCAGCGGGATGGGCTGCAACAGCCCTGCCCTGCCTCTTCCAGCCACCCTGCCTTTGTTTCTTTATTTGAGCTCAGATAACTCCCTGTGCGACCACGTTAGAAAATGCAGGCCTGGGGGGATTCCATTCATCACCCAAGAATGCAATTCCACTCTGGGATTTTAAAAAATATAAAAAGATTTTGTACTTATAAACCCCAGCAAGTTTAAAATCGCCCACTGGGACTTGGTTGGACATTTGCTGGACTTGGTCTCTATTTAGGGAACACCATTGGCGGTCAGTCAGTCCTTGTGGCCAGTTTCACTCTTTTTTCACCCGGGTAGAGAGGCTGGTTCCAGAAGCTTCCCACTTATGGATGGAGCCCCAAGCAGAAGACTGCAGCTTCTCACAGAGCCCTAGATGGAGTGTGGGAGCCTGTTGCCAGCACAGCGGTTCTGAGAATGGGATGGCCGGCCTGGGCAGGGACCCCCAACAGCCCCTCCCCAGTCCAGGGACTGCCTAGAACTGTAGAGAGCAAGAGGGGCCATTCCAGAACATTGAACAGCAGTAAGGCACAGCCCCTGCTGGACCAGGTCACTCACTACTCAACTCTGAGGAAGTTTGGGGGCCCTGGAGCAGAGCCTCTGAGCAGCCAGGGTATTGGGGTTCTTCTGGGGGTGTTGTGTGAGCTTGGGATTCCAACCCCCATAAACTAGCCCTCAGAGTCCAGCTCTGCCTCTTCTGACCTATGCAATAGAGAGCTCACCAAGCCACCTTCCTCCTCGTTAAAATGAGGGCACCCGCCCACTTCCAACTGTTGTAAGAATCTGAGGAGCTGTTACCCCGAAGAGCCCCTGCCAATGGCGGAGGTCAGCCACATCCCCATGGAACCAATCCCAAGTGTGGGAGCTGTGTTGTCTGTGAGCAGGATCAAGGTGACCTTCCTCTGCCCTAAAAGGATCGCTTGGGTCCCTCTTCTAAACTCTATCGAAAGAGGAATTCAGGCTTCACAGAAAGTTATTCTGCCTCCCAAAGTCACTGTGATTCCCAGGGGCGGGGCAGAACTGTTCTCACACCGGGGACCTGAGCAGGCGTTGGGGGGCTGGTTCCCCATCCTGCTGGGCACCTCTGCCTGCAGCTCCATGTGACCCGAGCTCTCTGAACTCTCTTCCCACCCATGCCAGCCTGGCTGCCCTCTCCAGCCCTGTACGGCCTCACCATTGACTACTCCTGCATCCGGTGGAACTCGCAGTGCTCCGGCCAGGAAGGAGCCTGCGTCTACTACAACAACGATGCTCTCCGAGACAGGTGGGTGCCCAGCATGCCCTGTGTCCCAGAGGCTGGCCCCCAAACCTGAGCGAAGGGCAGTCACCTGTTGTGGTGGCTGCTGTGGGGGGTTCAGGTGTCTGAGGTAGAAGGCCAGAGGGGTGATTCCATAGAGAGGAAGCGGGGGCCCCTCTGGCAATGGGCGTCTCGGGGCTCACAGAGAGTCATCCAACTAACAAGACCCAGGGGCGGCTCTGAGGCGGCCCCCAATTTGCAATTCCCACAGGCCTCTGCAAGGGACGGCGGCAGAAAGAAGTGTAGCAAGGGGAAAGGGGGTGGTTAGAATGCAAGGGAGAGGCCATTCTGTGGAATGCTGAAGCTGGGCCCGCCTCCCACTGCCCGGAAGGAGGTGGCCCTGTCACGGCTCCTAGAAGAGGTCAAGGACGGGCTTCTGTGGGTCTGAGCCCAGCTACAGTGCCACTAGTTCTGCACCCCTTCCAGCCACCTCCTCTGCTGCCAGCATCACACAGACCAGAAACAGTGGGGACAGTGCATGGAGGGGCCTGGTTGTGCCCGGGAACAGTGTCAAAGTGGCACAGAAGGCTGGGAAAGGGGTGCACCAAGAGGGCAGAGAAGAGGTGCCCCTCTTCTTCAGGCTTGTTGGAAGGACAGAACCCTCAAGGCTGGTGGGGCTGCAGTGATGCCTTTGGCCCTCTAGGGGGCGGCAGTGCAAGGATGAAGACCAGGGGGTTAGGCTTTGCCTACTCACCGGGAGGCTTGTATCCCTGTGGCTCAAAGGAGTGAGGAAAATGGTCCCCACCTGGGTGGTGACAGGTCCTTCCCATAGTGGTGATAACACAATCCCTGGGCCACTGTGAGAATGATGCTGCTCTTCCTGGAGGCCCTGAGACACAGGCTACAGAACCAGCCTCCGCAGCCCCTCACCAGCCCTGTCCTGCCCCACAGGTACCTGGGCCTGCAGGTAGGCTACAAGGTGCTGGGCACGCTGCTGCTCTTCTTCATCAGCTGGCGGGTGAAGAAGAACAAGGAGTACAATGTGCAGGAGAAGGCTGCAGGCCTCATCTGACCCCTGACCCTTGACCCTTGGCCCGGCACCCTCTGGCTTCAAAGTGTGGACTACCCTTCCACACGTGTCTGTATATACTAATGTCAATATGTCATTTCCTTTTTGTTTTTTTAAATAAGAAAACAACCCCGGTCACCATTTGCCTTCCCTGCCTCCTCCCAAAGGCCCCTTCTCAGGGTTCCTTAGGGCCGCTGCGCTCCTGGGCTGGGTGGGCACAGCTGTGGGGCTGGGTCTTCCCTGGCTCCTTGGGAGGGAGCCCCACATGCCTGCACTCTCCTCGGTGCTGGGTCCTCCAGTGAGGACACCCCCTTAGCTAGCCCCTGCCCTGACCAGTCCTGTAGGGGGTGGTCTCCTGAGCAGAGAGAGAAAAGGGGTATCTGTCCAGAGAGAGAAGGGAGTGGGTTGAGTGGGATAGAAGCTGGGGGAGCCTGGCTGTAGCCCGCTTCTGTATCTGAGTTCAGCATCAGCACGGAACCCAACAGAGTCCAATTTCCCTCCTCTCTCGTCCTTGCCTCCTGCCCCAAGAGACTATTTCGTGTTGGGAACTGTGGCCAGCTGGTCCCTCCTAGTTGCCCACACTCAAGCACTGGAGCAGGGACCAAGAAACCCCAAGGACAGTCATCTAAACACTGCTCATTCATTCTAGACCCTTCTGTACATGCTTGTCTGTCTGGGGGTGTTTCCAAGTAAGAAAGCCACACCGTGGCGGAGACCTGAAGAAGTCTGTGAACTTGCGTGGTGCCCGACCCCTCTCCCCCCACAGTGTGGGGGCAAGACTCCTCGTCTCAAAGGGACGGGAAGGCCCTCTCCAAGTTTCCTTGGGAGCCGAGAAGGCAGCTTCACATAGCTTCCCCGTCTGGACTTCAGGTGCCACTGAATAAAGAGAAGCAGCCCAGGATAGCGGCAAAGCCAGTGACAAAGCCAAGGGAAGGCCACATGCTACCAAGCTGGATGGTGAGCTGCAGCCCACAAAATAGAGGCTGGCAAGGATGACTTTCCAGGTTTCAAACACTGGTATTCAGGGACCTTTCCTCAGCCCTGAGAGGTGGCGCCCTCTATGGGCCTGAGTGGAAAGACACTGCAGCGGGGTGGGAGAGGTGCAGAGTTAGAAGCCAACAAAGGCCTTTTATCGATAAATATCTTTACTGGACTTTGTGCAAGGCGGTGCTAGTACACGGTTCTCCACTGAGCTTCACGGAGCTCCCACCTCTCCCCACCTACACTAGGGCCCCCCCTGGACCGAGGGTGCTCCGCGGGCAGTGGGGGATGGGGAAGGCCAAGCAGAAACCCGGGAATTGTCAACAGGATCTTGACCAGCCATGCCTCCCCCTCAGACTCACCCTGCACCCGGCCCTTTGCCAGACAGAGGCCTGTCTGCACTGTGTCCTCCAGAGCAGCAGGTACTAGCCATTGTCACGTGCATCTCCAGTGCCACTGCTCTTGGAATACCCCTCCAGAGACATACCAGAAGCCACCCCCAGAAAGGCCAAAAAATGTATGGCACTGGCCAAACTGCCAAGAGACTGAACTCTGTGAAAGCCACTGTGACAGTGGCCTTATTTCCAAAGACCTCACTCAGGGAGGAAGGCTCCACGCAACCTCAGTTTCAGCATTCAAAATGGTCCTGCTTGGAAAATGATTCCCTGCAACGAACTCTGGTCTTTCTTTCCTGCTGCAGTTTAAGTAAATTCTGAAGGCACTGCTTTCAGCTAAGCTCATGAACAGTGAAAGCCAACCTTCAGATCCTGGAAGATTGGTTGCCCTCCCAAGCCTTGGTTCTGCTATGATATTGCTATGAATATATTATAATTTTGCTATTGACGTCAGCGGGTCATGAATTTGTGCTGCCATGTATATCTGTCAGAGAGAAGGCTGAACCTGCACCTTCTGGCCTGAGGAGGCGTCTGGGCCACAACCCGCAGGGGCCCTGGTCACAGGGATCAGAAATAATGCAACTCTCGGCCCACCAGCCTGCTACAGAGGGGCAGGTGCTTCTTGTCCCTTCAGGAAGCTCCGCGGGCATCTGTCAAAGGCCCACAGTGCTGGGCTCTCAGGAGGCCTGATCCCAGCCCTTGAGTTTACATCCAGAAGCGGGGTTGGTTCGTCGCGAACAGCTAAGTCCCGAATATGAAACAGAATTAATGTCACAGTCATCAGCGACCACTTGGTCACAGCCACCCCTCCCCCTCCCACAGCAGCTCGTTCCTCCCAACTGCCAGTGGGGCGTCCAATCCTGCCACCTTCAGTTCATGTCTAAGCAAAGCTTGACAAACTTCCTTGACTGTCAGGCTCTCCTAGAGGACATCACTGAAATGTAGGTCCTCAGCCCCCTCCACTCATCCTCAGAATCTATTTATGGGGGTCTCAGGGGACCCAGGAGTGGCACTTGTCATAGGACCCTTGTGTGAGACCGACGTGGGTGGCTGTCAGGCCCTGTGTGGTGGGCCAGCAGCGCAGCCCAGCCTTGGGTGTGCCCACCTGGGCTGAGGCCATTGAGGAAGGTACAGACGTGATAGGTCTTTGGCGAGCTCACGTGTGAGTGAAGGGTGACACGGAGAAGGGGTGCCTGCCCTTCTGAGTCCCTGGGTGACTGCGGCCAGGAGCTGGCGGGCATGTAAAACAGCCCAAGAGCTAACTTGTGTATTAGGTCCTTACCAGCGCTGGGAATGGAATTCTCTCTCCCCAGGCCTGAGAGTACCAAAGGTGTCACGGTTATTTCTTTAAATCGGTTATGTCTGACTTCCAGCCCTCGTCCTGCTGGCTGGCTGGGAAGTCAACATCAACCATCCTCGGAGCTGGCTCCCAGGACCTGAGGGTCCTGCCGTGGCCGGGTTTTGCTTCTTCCCCAGTCTGAGGCCTCTCCCTGCTTCCCCGGCTGAGCCTGGAGAAGAATCCAGAGCCGAGGGCTAGAACTGCCCCCCGCCTCCCCTATGCTGTCCTTCCGGCCCATCCCAGGAAGCCCACGCCTCCGCTCCATCCCTCTCCCAGTCCCTCAGGGCTGAGCAAAAAAGCCGGGAAAGGAATTGTCTGCAGGAACCTTTTTATCCCATCCTTCATTGAACATTCTTGGCATAAGAGAGGAAAATTCAGTGAGAGACAAACACCATAGCTCCATAAATTATTCTTTGGCTCAGAGCCCTCTGGAGTAATCACCACAGCCCTACAGTGGAGACCAGACTGACCTTAGGAGCCCATTTGAAGAAAAGGAGTTTGAAATCCAGGAAGTAACCATTGTGGCCAAGTTTATGCAAACAATAATGGGTCAGACTTGAACTCAAACCAGGCCATCCAGTCCTCTCTGTCCGGTCCAGCTCCAACACCAGCCCTGTATCCCCCACTGAAGTCATTCTGAACTTGCAGGAGGTCCCTCTGTTCCCACTGGGGTTCCTGGCCCGTGGGAGGGAGGTGGGGGGAAAATCTCCCGAGGGCCATGTGACGTAGGTAATGGAGGTGGGGAGAACCGGGTGATATTTCATGTACCCTCCTCCTTACTTCTTAAAGTAGCCAGGTCATTACGACTGCTCACTAACCAGGGCTACTCTGGTCCTGCAGCACCATGCCTTAAAGGTCAGTTGTAGAAGACAGGGACAAGGAGGAAAAGGCCATCGGGAGAAAAGGCTCTGAGTGATCTGCACATAGGCTGACCTTCAAGGGAACACCCCCACCTGGTGACGGTTTAGCAGATTCTTGTTCAGGAAACAAAGTTGTATTGTGATTTTTTTTTTCCAGCCAGTTTCAAAGATGGATAGATACAGTAAAGCTGGAGCTGAAGCTAGTCAGGATCAAATTGTTATTAAAATATTGTATTACAGATTCCCAAAGAGATTGGCAGGGGCTATGAGAGAGAGAGAGAAATCTCATGAATCTAACAGAGAACACCTATCTTTTACAACAACAGGAATTAAATACCTAGGAGAAATGTCTACCTGCTACTAATAGCACCAGAGTCATTATAACCTTTCCTCAGAGATTAAACATGTAAACAGATCCTGGACAAGCCCTTGGTAAATCGTGAGCAAGAGCAAGTTCTTCCCTTAGGACACCCCCTGCCCATCCATTCACTCTTTACCCCCCCCCCACTCACCCCTGCAGCGAGGCCCCCCTCCGCAGGAGTCAGCCTACCCTGCTGAAGTCCTTGCCCCCCCCAGGCAACTGCTGCACCTTGAAAACAATGACTAAAATGGGCACAGATGTTTACAGTTTACGGAGCCCATCCATTTAACCAGCTCCCGTGAGTCAGGCTCGGCCAGCGTGTGGTAACACGGCTCACTGATCTGCCACATGCTCACCTGGACCCTCGTGAAGTCCACTGCGGGTCCAGGTGAGTCTCCAGGGCAGTGGCCTCCAGATGGCGACTCAGTAATCTGGACTGTTTGGATCCTGAGGTTCCTCCATTCCTTAACCTGCCGCTGCGATGGGTAAGGCAGGGGCGGGGAGTCTCTGAAGGTCGTTCACTGGGAAATAAACGTTCGGCCCAGAAGTAACATGCTTCATCTCTGCTCCCGGCCCATTGGCCAGAACTAACTGCATATCCCTTCATAACTGCCATGGGGCTGGGGAAGGATGATCCTCCTGTGAGCTCCGAGGAGACAAACTTTAGTCATGGGTGAGCATTAGAACCTCTGGCACTGGGGCGAACCTGGGCAGACACAGGTACTCACTGGGCATGGAGATCAGCTTTGTCAGGCTGTTGGGGGAGAAGGTACAGTCAGGAGAAGTTTCCCAAAGGAGGCAGCCTCAGTGGTGAGATTCCCAACAGGGTCAAGTCCATAGGCAGTTTGCAGAGGGTTGCCTTAGAGGAGGCGGAGATGGGGTGGTGACTAAGAGAGATGCAGGGTCAGGGAAATGTTCTCTTGAGATGGGAGAGATTGTTGGAGTCAAGAGCCAAAGGATCTGGGAGGCTGAGGAGCTGGAGGAGCCGAAGCAAGGTTTCCGAGATGGAGAAGGAGATGAACCGACCCACGGCAGAGGGATTTCACCCAGCGCTCCCCCCACCCCTGCAAGGCCAGTGCGACCAGTCCTTCTGGTAAAAGTCGAAAACGAGCCCCCTTCCATTGTCATTTGTGCCTCCATTTGTTCATTTCGTACTCAATTTGTACAAAGACAAAAGATGACACACAGGCTCCCTACTACCCTCCAGGGGCGTACAATTAGGAGCCAGAATGAGACCTTAACAGAGGGCCAAGTACAAGTGCTATAAAGTCATTTGGTTGAGAGAACAGAGACAGGACTTGGACCTGGTTGGTTTGGAGGGATGGACTGGATTTCAAGAGACTCCAAGATGCGGAAGACATTCCAGGCAAAAATAAGGCAGCAGGAAAACCTGTGCAAGTCCTGAGAATTCACTGGACAAAGGGACCACAAAGGTGAGCAGAGGTAAAGCCTGGCTAGGCAGTCGGGTCCAGCCTCGGAGGCTCCTGGAGGGTCTTGAGGGCTGGCTTACACCAGGCCAGGAGCGGTGGGGCGAGCCTGGTCCTGCTCCCCAGTCAGCACCCATGGCTACCTCCTCCCACTCAGGGCCTAGGAGAAGGGCCTCAGTGCCCAGCCAAAGGATCCCAAGCAGGCACTTCTAGCTCAGGGTTCCGGGCAGGAGCTTACACTGTGAGGGACACCGGAGCAGGTGATGCTATCATCCTCAGGAGCATGGGGAGCTCCCACCTCATATGCTTGCAGGAACCTCCGCCGGCAACCCCCCTGTTGGCCAGCGCTCCAAGGCTATCCCGGCCCAAGATGGGGTGGAAGCTGCTCTGTTCCCTCCCCCGCCCTCCCACTGCCTCTCTCTCCCTATCTGGGGGCTGGAACCCACACTTGGAGCTGGACGTCAGAAGGCTCAGTCCAGGCAGGGTGGGGCAGCTAACTTAAAGGGGCATCAGTCTGGGCCCCCAATGTGTTGCTAACTCCTTTCTCTTGGCTCTGTGCTCCATCAATGTACCATATACCAGGCATCCCCTTTCACGGATACCAAATCCATAAATGTGACCTTGAAGGTCCCAGGTGGGTACCAACATTTGTTTAAAACTTGGTCCTCGGTACACCTCACAGCCTGGGAGATTAGAATGGAGCAGACGCTCTCTCTTAGGTCCACACTGGGAAAGGACCCAGATGGGTTTCACACTGACTACGTACTCGACCGCAGCCACTTCACCGCAGACACACGGAAATTCCAGAAGGGCTTCTGCAGCCTTTCGATAGCTCAGGCGTTCATTGAGCGCTCAGACACTGTCCTAAGTGCTGTCCACAAGTTTGTGCCTTTAATCGTCACCATAGCCCTATGAGATGCAGTTATCACCATTTAACAGACCAGGAACCTGAGGCACAGCCGACTTGGGCCTTGGCTCCTGTTCTCTCATCTCCTGAAGACAGCTGAGGTCTGCGGGGAGCAGATCAGGCAAAATGGCAGGCGGCCACCAGGGGGCGCCGCTCCATCGGCACGCACCGCACCGCAGGCACCACGCCCGCCCGCGGGCGAAGGAACGCCAGGGAGACTGGCTTTGCCTCCGACCGAGCGCTGCGTTAACCCCCTCCCACCCCCCGCTCCCACCCCCATCCCAGCTACCTGGCCCGGAACCTCGGACAGCTTACCTTCCCCGCCCTGCGCCCTCGGTCATGCAGGGCTTCCATCACCAACCCCCCACCCCGGAACCGTTCCACTCCCGCATTCTCCTATTCCGGCCACCTCGGGATCTGGGCCCACCTGCATCTATCTACTCTCTGGTCAGGATCTTGAAAGATTTTCCTTTCTCCCTGCCCCGTGACAAAGCACCAGCCTGTTTATGTATGTTTACATGGCAAACATGTAACAAACACGTTAAAGAATAAGG